TAACTAAGGTTAACTAATGAGGTCTTATTGTAAAGTGATACCTATTGGTCTTTATAGTTATTTTGCACTTTAATCTGTGTAAAATGTTTAACTTTATACATTTTTTTGTGTATTGCTTGATTGTATTTAAATGTTAAGTACATAGTAGTTAAGGCCACTTAATATAAAGTGGGGCCATGTTCGGTTATTTTTGTTATTAAAAAAGTTATTAAACCTGTTATACTGTATTATGACCACTTTTTTGCAACTAAATGTCAATACCGTGATAATACCGTATACTGTAATAAAAGCATTAGCAAATAATCGCAACATGAAAATTTTATACCGGCATATCCCTACATTATATTGATCAAAACAATAAAAGACACTTGCATTTTTACAAAAAAAAACAAATACTAAATGCTGTTCTTTTGAACTTTAGATCCATCAAAGCATCCTTTAAAAATGTTTAATTGTTTCCACAAACATAATTATGCATAATTATAATATTATTATAAGAAATGTGTCTCAAGTGCCAGATCAGCATATTAGAAGTATTTGCTGATCTAAGTGGCTAAAATTTTGTAATTACTCAATTACATATTATTTTATATGTATAAATATTTTAAATTGGAAATCAGTTATTTTGCATTGTAAAATTATTTCATAATATTAGCCTACTATTTTTTTTTTACTTATTTTATCAAATAAATGCAGCCTTGAGCATACGAAACATTAAAAATCTTCCCAACACCAACCTTTTGAACTGTAGAATATCTTATCATTAGATTGAAATTTATAGCATGCATATGACACTACAATTTTTGTCTACTTTAGTTGTAGCTTGATACAGTTGGATCCTGCAGTCAAATAGGACCACCTACTATAAACCAACAATACAGCAACATGATGACCTCCAGCGATTTAATTGCTGTCAATATGAATGGGCCTAACACTTAAAGGACATTATAATACATTCTTCTTCTTTCTGTCTGTTAAAAAACTTTTTGTCCCACATGTTACTGTCAGGTGATCCCCTGCAACAGCTGCCTCTGTGAGGCCAGCAGAAAACAAGACTCATGCAGTGCTGTTATATTCTGTTCCCTCCTCTTTTATTCCTTCCCCTCTCTATTTCAATTTCTCTTCTTATCAGTTTTCCATTCAGAACCCATAAAACCAGCACTAAGCTGAATTGTTCATGTGTTTTTGAATGCGCAAAACTGTTTTTCATAAAACCGGGGTCAAAATTGATTTCAATTACTTAAGCTAAATGACAGTATCACCATCTATTAATAAACGTTCTCCACTGCAGCTGTCATATTATGAAATGATCTGTTCTCATATGGCATGTATTTAGCCTGTAGTAAACAAGCTTCTGATCAGCTGACCTGAACAGTTCTGCACCAGGCTTTCATGTGACTCTATTAATTCAGGTCTCAGTGACTAAGCAAAGCTGTCTGCAGTGCACAATATTACAGAGTACAGTATACACCTTACCTGAAGGATTACAGAAACTTGTAATGGGTTATTTGCCTGTAGGCCAGCTTTTATTTAAAGGGAAAGCATGCTTTTGCTGAATAAGCCTCTGTTAATCACGGATTTTGAAAACTTCACCACTCAGCATGTTTCTTGATTAAACGCTTGTGTGCCATATACTGTATGTGATGAGAGCTAGGGATGTTCATTTTAACCGGTTAACCGACGGTTAGAATTTTGACCGATTAATACAATCAGTTAAACGGTTTAAAAAGTCATTTAATTATTTATTTTTTCAGTAATTTATCAAAATATTTAAAACTGTTTGCTGCATGGTTAAAATACGCTACGCGTATAAAAAAAATTGTTTTTTAGGGGAAAAAACGTGTCACGTATAAGTCGCATTTTATTATTTCATTCAGAAATAGGCCTAATGCCGACGCGAAATGTTTACAAACATGATAATAAACATTGTAAACATAGCTAGGCTATTTTAGTTCCCCTCACTCCACAAAATTATCCTTTCAATTAACAGTATTTAGAAAAGAACAAGAATTAAAAATATAAGAAGCTATAGCAATATAAATGACAAGCCAAAACGAAACTGAAACCAACGTTGGGTCTCTCCTTCCACACAAAATCAAATGTTTCCGTATTCGCGATGTATTTTAATGGCAAATTATTATTTATGTACTTCACTCGCGTTCCAATATCCACTTGAAACAAAATGTTTTGTATAACATCATGATGGTACAGTGATAACACTTAACCTTAACGGCTTAACAGATTTTACTACATATTTTTACTACATATTTTTTTTTTTACTACATAGTTTTTTCAATATGTTTGACTGACTGTATTTCATTATGATAATGAACAGGCTGCATTGTCAAGGCAGCAATGCTTAACTGTGTGCGCGCATGCGGCGCCGGCGCAATCACTTGAATTTTTTTCCTTCTAACAGTGGAAGAAACTACTCCTTTTAGTCATAAAGATAATCGGAATTGTAAAAGGTTTGCCTTTATTTGTGTACATTCACAATAAAAA